CCAATGGTAGCACTAACTGCTCGGTCAATGAATAATTGAGTGTTTCCTTACAAGGAAATGACTTACAGTACCTTCACCATCATGCAGAAAGTGTTTAAATGATATGAATATCATTAGTGCATGAAAGAAACACTTTCAGAATAAAGAATAACTTTTCTAATAAACATTAAGTAAAGTATTTCCCATAAAGACGTGATATTTCTTTTTGATTAAAACAATGTCAACATAAAAATATCTACACATCTGCAATACTTCATGCATAGAGAGCAAAGAACAATGAATATAGTGTACAATTTTATAGGCATTTAAATCACATTTCTTTTAGGTAATAATTATGGCTGCTCTTAAATAGAAAAAACTGCATATATTTTAGCTGGGCAATAATAAAATTGCATGTTTTTATATATATATATATATATATATATATATATATATATATATATAAATTAGGTGGTAGGATTATTCCAAAGAGGTCCTTTGATATAAAATATTAAAAAGTTGCAATGTTTTATATATAAATATATAAGGAAAAGATATATTATATATATATATATTTTATATATATATATATATATATATATATAATCTAAACCAAAGAGGAACAATTATAGTTCTGAAACATGGTTTTTGGTAGTGATGTAAAATGTTTTATTGTATTATTCACAAACACACACACATATATATATATATATATATATATATATATATATATATATATATATATATATATATAGGTATTCAGACTTTTTTATTAAATGATATAAAAACAATTTTTAAAAAAAAGATATTTTTTAAAAAAGAAATGAAGTAGCTCAATGGCATATAAATTGAAGAGAGAGAAGGTTTTGTATAGAAAGAGGGAAGGCAGACAAAGAAATAAATAAATAATAAGAAAAGAAAATGTATTCATTTAAACATTATTATATCATATCATCATAATAATAATAAAAAGAAAATATAAAATTTATTTTAACATATATATCATATATATATATATATATATATATATAAAAATGACAGACAAGGTATCTTTTATTTAACAATGTGCTTATCATATTCGAAATTAAAAACATCCCTAAACACTAAGACACAATTATGAAAAATCGAATTCCTGAAATGGCAACGAAAGAAATTTTTTTGGACAGTGATGTCCAAAAAAGAAAGTTTTAAGTAAAAAGCTTAACCATAGTATTGTAAAGGAAGGATTGCTATATACACATATATATATATATATATATATATATATATATTTGTTTGAATCAAAACATGTATATATATCCCAGTACACCTTACCGCTTGCATATTCAGACCAACAAAATTTTATTTTCTTTTAATGATATAAATTCAGTCATGAAAAAAATTTGATTAAAGAAAAATATGATATTTTTAAAAAAGAAATAATAAAAATCTGTTATATTAATAAAAATTATTTATATATTATATATATATATATATATATATATATGACCATAAAAAAATTAGGCATCTGATCCACAGAACTATTTTAACAGAATAGATCAGAACAGAAGGCTGACAAAAGCTGGGAAGAACAGTTTGAAATAGTATGATGAGGTAGTTTTTGTTTTAGTAATATATATATATATATATATATATATATATATATATATATATATATAGTAAAAGTAAAAAATCCAAGATTTTTATAAAATATTAAGACGGTAAAAAAGAGCCAATGTATTTATTATTACTGAGAAAATAATTAATAAATAACAAATCAGTATATAGAAAGAATCTCTTTTCAGTAGATGAAGATCAACCCCCCCAATATGGACTGAGTTTGTATCAGAAATAGAATGCATAAATTCTATGTTAGCTTTTCAACCAGTTCTTTTTTTTCTAGCTTTTACAGTTAAATTTTTATTTCTGACACCAACTCAGTCCAAACTGGGGTTGATAAGACAACTGACCGATATCGTCATCTGCCAAAATAACCTATTCCCCATATGAGATTATTTTAATAACCTATTCCCCATATGAGTTTATTAATTATTATATATATATATATATTTTGGGCAGCAACCTTTCTTTTAAACATCTTTCAGACGAGGATGATTTAATTCATTTTTTATTCAGTCTTTCCAGCATCCTTACATTTTTGCATTTTGTAGGAGTATGGCAGTACAAAATATGTCCATAATTTCCATTGTCCCAAGCACTTATGGATATTTTTTAGCCATTTTCCAGGGGCTTTTGTTTTTGGTGTTGTTAGATTTTCCTTATTTTTTGACTGTTTAAGTTGTATTTTATTTTTGTTTTGTTTTAAATAGGAGTATTTATTCTGAGATGTTTGCTGTTGAGGGTATTGAAATTTGCATATATATATATATATATATATATATATATATATATATATATATATAATTTTAAAGAATTAATGGATTTTATTTTTTTAATTTGACATTTTTATTATATTGAATGTTATTTTTTAGTGTATGCTACAATTTGAGTTGATTCTCTGTTTATTTTAAACAGCATTTATTTCATCTACTGGCCTCCATACTTGTGAAAACTTAATAAAGAAAAATCTACACTCCAATAGGATTTGAAAAGTGTGGTGATAGTTTGACATCTGCTGGAGGGTAAACTTTTTATTGCTTTTTCTCAAGTACCCAGGCTAATAAATGAAATAAATACTGTTTAAAATAAATGAAGCATCTACTCAAATCTGGATATAAGTTTGAATTAATATATATATATATATATATATATATATATTAGTTGTCTTGGGAAATTAAAACCCAACCACCCCTAATCAAAATAGATTGAATTTTCCTTAACCTTAACAACTCAAATTATTAAGATTGTCTGCGCTTATAAATTAAGTAAATTATTTAGAAAATTATTCCTAACATCGCTTGACAATGGAATGAAACTCTGGATTTTAAGTTTAATTTTTATAATTAAATTTACAACTTTAGTTTCAGTTTTGAAACAGAAATTTCTGTGTCATGATGGAATCATATTTTTAAAAAAGAATATATATAATATATATATACATATATATATATATTAAATGACAATTATAAAAAAAAACATTCATGAAAGTGTAATGTTTCCAAAAAATATCCGATAATGCATAAGTCATCATGACCAAAGGTTTGAGTGTGCTGATGCTGTTCAGGTTGTTGATCATTCTAGCTAACATGCTCTCTTCCAGAAACTGTAACTAAGGTCTGCTCAGCATAGTTGCAGTATAAACCACATGTTGGCTCTGTGGGTGTTGACCAAACGCAAATGTGCCTGAACAAAAGTTTGCAATAGGGTTTGGCTAGCCGCCCTAGTAAACGGGTATCCTTGAATAAGAGTGGCCAGCTATTATTACATCTATCTATCTATCTATCTATCTATCTATATATATATATATATATATATATATATATATATATATATAACACACAGAGGATTTATTTAAACATGATTAACCATAATTGCATAGAGTTTCTTGATGATATCCATTCTTGTATGATATCTTTAGGAAAGTCTCTGAATGTTGTGCCACAGATGGTAGCATTGTCGAAACCATTAAGAGCATTAAGGACTTTCAGTTTTTTTTAATGACATTATTCAAACCAAGGGACTTATGAGAAAACAAGAAACGTTAAGGACTATCTGAACATAAATATAAAAATCATTAGAATCTTTTTATTAATTCCTCTGTCTGAGAAAAGTTTTAAAAGAAAAGAAAAATGTTACCTGAAATGTAGAAGTGTTGGCATGAAATTCTTTGGATTGGATGGAAACAATTAAAAATCCATTCCAACTCACCTGGAAGATAAAAGAAAAATAATCATGGTTAAAAAAAGGAAGGTAAAATTAGAATTTCTCATTCATTTTAGGAATAAAATTATTTCTTTATAAAGTTCTTAAGAGATTTTTGACAGTTTTAAATTGTTATTTTATAATCTCTGTCGCAAAATCCTCAGCTGAATTGTGTAAAAATACAAACATTGTTGCTTGAAATTATTTTTATCAGCAATAAAAATTAATCTCTAAAATATTAATGGCCTTGTGAATGAGTGAAAAAATAAGGTTTAAGTATCAAAAAAGGGAGATTGTGTTGCATTGATTTTCCAAGTCATTTTCAGGAACAGTTTTAATTCCTTGAACCTATCAGACTTTCTATTAAAACAGGAATAAATAGTTGTGTCATCAGATAAATATCAAGTTGGGAACTGATGAAGGTTGTTAAAGAAGATACGAAACAACGTTTGTCTGAGGTTAGAGGGGGAATCTAGAGGCATGGATGTTCAACACTTGTGAAGCCTATTTTCCTGAAAAATTGTTTTAATAAAAAATTTTTTATAAATTTCAACCACTGGTAGCACTGACTGCTTCTTTAAAGAATATCAAATGTTTCCTTATAAAGAAATGGTTCATATTCAGTCAGTGATATGCCATGCATGATACACGCTTAGGTGATCATGTATCATTCGATACATGACTGATGAGGCAGATTTTTTCCTTCAGTAGGTGGTTCCCATTATCTTTCCAGAAAGTTCTTAAAGGATCTGAATATCATTAGTTCATCAAAGAAATACTTTCCAGGAAGATTGTGTTGCATCAATCTTCCAAGTGAGGAAAGTCTGGCCTACCAGCCTTAAAAATTAGTAATCAAAATCTTTATTTGCATTCAGACTATTATCATGTTTTGGCAGTTATACTCTCTGGTCTTCTTCAGGTGCTTGTTCTTATTTAGTACTGTTCAATTATTGCAAATAGGTATAATACCTCATCCCAAGAGAGAAATGAATCAAAATTCTGCTTTTTTATCTTTTCCTAAACTTAAGCTTGAGTACTTACTTCTTGTAGCTGAAAAAACAACTTTTTTTTATATTTTAAATTTCACAAAATACAAGGCTAGAGAGGCACTCAAGGTGGAGGTTTACAGCTAAAAAGTTTAGAATGAATGAGGTATGATATGAATGAAAGAGAAGGGGGCTAAGAAATGAAGATAAAGAGGATAGACAATGATTGACACTTATGGCCATATCATATTGAAACACTGATTCCCATATGATCACTGAAGTTAACCAACATTGATCATAGCCAGTACTTAGATGAGTAACTGTGTGGAAATACCAGGTGCTGTAAGTTTAGATGATGTAATGGATAATGGCTTGAAATTGTTAATTCAAAGTTCCAATTCTTGTTGGGTTTGTTATATTGACTTACATGCACAAATACTCTTGGGAAAGGTATGAATCAAGTTCTTCTCCCCCCAGCTATGTTTAATTAGTAAAACTTGTATGACTATTCCATTATCATCTAAAAAAAATCTATACAATCTAAAAATATTTTCTGGCTTTAAGCTGTAAAGGGTTGATAAGCCATAAAAAATGAATCAATCAAATCAAACAATGAGTAACTATTGACTGGAAGAAGTTAACATTGTAGTCTGTTCAACAAAGAGGCTGTTTTTGGTAAAAATTTGTTTGAGGAAACTTTCTCCTTACATTTGGAATATGGGGGAAATCTGGGTGATTTGACATTATGTAAGCAGTCTGGTGCATGTCCTAGTTATAAATGTCTGAACTTGGGGAACTAAAGAATAGAGCCCATCTTAATATTTGCCATGATAATAGCAATAGATTAGCGAAAGGCTTGCAATGTTACATCTATTAGAAAGAGGCTGCAGATTAGAGAATATGGCTTCCCTCACAAGACTGTGTAAATATCCTAGCTGTAAAGGTCTGAACTGGTGGAACTAAAGAATGGAGCTCATTTGAACATTTGCCATGGAAATAGCAATAGAGCAGCAAAAGGCTTGCAATGTTGCATCTATGGGAAAGAGGCTGCAGATTGGAGAATATGGCTTCCCTCAGGACTGTGTAAATGTCCTAGCTGTAAACGTCTGAAAATAAAAATGTTTTTTGAATCAAGATTGGAAAATGATAGTTTAGTACCTCTAGCCCTAGACTCTTGTAAAGATAATGCATGGTAGAAGGAGTCAGGTACTTTCTGGAGTGGTAGAATGAACTAATTTTTCAGCATCTTTAAAATTGACTATTTTTCAGAGTTTGGCTTGAGATTTGGATGTTATCAGCACAGAAAACAAACCAAGTGGACCAAGTTCAAATTTAGACTGAAACTGTCCAACTTATATTTGGGAAAGGCATGAATCCATCACTCCCTGGAACTGTCTCCTTGCTAGATATCTTCTTACTGCCAGCATAAAGATTAACCAGGATGAAAAAGAGTATGTGAGCATATAGAAAACCACTCCCCCATAACTATAAGGGCTAATCATCAAAATTAGTTCTTTCAGAGTATGTCAGCATATTGCAATCTGTCTTAAGCCAGGAACTGCTTACTGTACTGTCATTTTGTTTTGTTGGATCAAAAATATTTTTGTTTTTCACAGACCTTTTTTTTTTAAATACGTTTGTTTACCCATTACAAGGCCCAAGAATCACTGAAGGTAGGGAGTTACTGAGTGGGGTTGTTGTAAGAAAAGGGGAAGCAGGAAGTGCATATTATGAGGATATATAGTATAGATGACCCTAGACTTGAAGAGGTTAAGATTATAGTGGTTAGGAAAGCATCATCTCAGGAGTCTTTTCCACTGAGTGACAGTTCTGGGGAAGAAAATGTCTGAGTGGAACTTCCTCCTTATCAAAGGAATACAAAAAGAATGGAGATGATTTGCCATGCTGAACATGGCAGGACAGCTCCTAGTGGTATCAGTAAGTTGAGTTAAAATTCCGAGTTAGTCTGTTGCATTCACTTTCACACTTTCCTATTGACTTTGAGAAGTTTTCCTCAACAAGACTATGCAATTGATTTTAGACTCTATCAGGGCTGGAAAGTGAGGTTTGAGTAGCTCCAATTCATATATAGCAGCAATACTCCATTTTTTGTCCAATTTGATTCTTATAAATATAAGGTATGGCAGAAGGAACTCGGCTCTCCAATTCCTCAATCTGAGCTGCTATCCATTACTCCACCATGCCTCCCAATTTGAATTCTCTTGGGGAAGGTATGAATCCTCTTCTTCTCCCTCCACCTATGGGTAAACAGCAGTATGCAGGAGGCCTGGTGGAGTAATGGATAGCAGCTCAGATTGAGGAATTGGAGAGCAAACTTCAAATTCCAGTCAAATTCATTACATTCACTTATGTGCTAATACCCTTCAGAAAGGTATGAATCCTCTTCTTTTCCTCCTAACTATGGGTAAATAGCAGAACAGACAGGGTTCTATAGCCTTGGGTGGCAACTGGTCTAGGAGAGGGACAACTCTGAATTCAAAACCTGATCCTCCAGGTTAGGGGTTGCGCAGTAGGCTAACTACCTACTCACTTAAAAACTGGCTTCTTATAGAAACTGCAATGATATCTTGTGGCCCTATGTTCCTTAAGGAATTTAAAGGCATAGGCTCCTGAAAATTTAATTTTGGTTAGCTCTCTGGGGGAGGAAGTGTGGGTTTGTAAACAGTGACTATAATTGCTAATATAGCAAGACTCTTCGATAAAGCGAATCAAGTCCTCCCAGTCACTGTATGTTTATCTAAAAATAAATACGCTAAAATTTACCTTCATCCCTGCCATGCACTGACGGCTTAGTGGTAGAATCTACGACTGACACCAATTCAGTCAGGTTTCAATCCTAGCTAGAGCAACCGGATGTCTAGTCACACTGAAGAGCTGTGATACAGTGAAACAGTCTGTCTGTGGATGACAATATATATAAATATATAGATAATATATATATATATATATATATATAGATAGATAGATATAGATATGTATGGCAGAAGGAGTCTGATTCTTCCAGTAGAACTTAGAATGAGCTGGGAATTTTACCAGTATCTTTTGAAATTTATTGAATTTATGAGGTCTGGAAGGAACTTGAGACTCAATAGATGTTCAGACCATGGAGCCTTATTGACAGTGCAACTGTTCATTGTGACTGGAGAAAACCTGGTGTCTGATCCATGCTGATGTTGTATGCAATTCACATTAGAAAATACCTGAGGTCTCAATCAAATTGTTTCTCAGGAACCTTGGTCTCAGAGTTCATCTGTGCTACAACCGCGTATCCCCACCCCCGTGTATGCAGTTGGTTCATTCTAAGAGATAACAAAAAAAAAATTTTGTACTCAATGTCATCTCAAAAAGTCAAAAGACCTTTGAGCCTTGAGGGTTGACTCAGAAGGTGACCTTAAATTCATCAAATGCAGAATTGGGCTTCAAAGGATGTCAGTGAGTACACTGACATAAACAAGGAACTTAACTCATATGAGCTTAAGATATACATACACAAGACAACTGGATGACAGGAAGTTATATAAGTGACTGACGTAGAAGGGGAGAAAGAAATTCACTCACACTTTTGCAAGAAGATTAAACATCCAAAGAAAAACCAAAATGTTTACTTAATGGAGATCAAAAATAAATAAATAATTATTTAAACAATTTTATATATGGAACTTTCAGTTTTGTGTTTTTATCAAACATTACTAATATAAAAGCATCCTGGGTATGATGATAAACTACATCCAACAACAAGGCCTCTAATCAGAAGATTTTGAGGAGCATGAAACCACCTCTTAATTGCTGGTGTTCCCACGTCCACTCTGACTTGGGGTAGTAGCACCTGTTAGGGTCCCAACTATGGGCAAATAGTTAAGTAGGGAGTTGTTGTCCTGAGTAAGATGATAAACTACATCTAGCACCAAAGCCTCTGATCAGGAGGTTTTGAGGAGCATGGTACCACTTCTTAATTGCTGGTGTTCCCAGGTCCACTCTGACCTGGGGTAGTAGCACCTGTTAGGGTTCCAACTATGGGCAAATAGTTAACCTCCAAACTGGGATCAAAATACTATGAAAGTGTAAAAATAGGTTTTAATACCATCAATAAATTTTTGAGGAAAAATTATTACCAGTGATACATATTTGAAAAAAAATATGTTACCAGCAATACATTTTTGAAATAATATTACCAGCAATAAAAATCTTGTCGGCATTAAATAATCCATTTAAATAAACCAAACTAATATAAAAGAATAAAATTATTGGTAAATGTTTTTCAAAATATTTGAATGAATAATGATAAGAAAAAAATTTGATGATACTGAACCAATAATCAATGATAAATAAAACAAACATTACGAATTGAAATGCATTTCCTACAATTTCCAAAATGATGTCCTCTTTTATAAAAAAGAGAAATGTCATGTTTAAATATAAATATAAAATTATTCATGACAGTGTATAAGTAATTTAACAAATACATTGCATTAAATGTTCCAAATATAACAATTGCTAGGGGTAATAGACATTCTTAATAGAGTAAACTTACTAAAACACTTATTTTAAAAATAAAATGAAAAACAATCAATGTATACATCAACTTATCTTATGGCAGTAAGGTTGAGGAGGAGAGACCAGACTGAATGTGATAAAACCCCTGAAAACAATAGAATAGGCAAAGAGCAACATTCTCTCTATGGCCAAACTGGCAAAAGACGGCAGTGCCAACTGGACTGGTGTAACAAAGGAGGACCTAGACAGACCAAGCATCCAACAGCTAGATCTCGCTTGTCTCAGTCCCCTTTAAGCTGCAAGAGAGGCTCTTCTGGCCAAGTATCTGGGCTTCTTCATTGCACAGAATTGACCACCAAAATCAACTCACATGAATGACCTCGTCAAACTCTCACTAGTGGGGAGAAAAGGATTAGAGAGAGAGGATGCTCAGATGCGAGCCGGTGCTGCCACTGGTGACAGCTAATATAACTTCAAATCATTATCATATACTCCTCCTCCACAAATAATTCTTACAATTTAAAAATATTTTCTGGCTTTAAAGGGTGATAACTCATAGAAAATGAATTAATCTGTAATGAGTTGGTTGGTCAACTTGACACCCCCAAAGCGAGTGGAGGTGGGCAGGCGCGGGAACTGTGATTGGTAGCTGACTTGTTGGTGTTTTGCATAGGCAAGTTGCCAAGCTCTATGTAAAGGGCTGGAATGAGAAAGAGGGCAGTTTTTGTCTCAGAAGTGGAGACTGTGCCTGTCATTACGACAGCAGGAGAGAAAGAGATGAAATCATTTATTTTTTTGTGACACATACAACAACCAATCAAAAATCAGCAT